ATATGAACAGCAACATATTTGTTTGCAAGTTTCGATGCTAATTTGTTCAAATTAGGTAGTCGTAACTTTTGCTCTTTACACGTATATTAAAAAGTGTTATTATTATATTATTATATTATAGAAAACCACAGAAGCTTCAATATTAATAGGGAATATTTATTATGATTCGAAAGAACATTCTTATACATTTCTTTTTTGAAGATTATCTCTTTGAAATGTTGGCCGCGGTTACGTCTCAGATAATCCATCTGTTGAGTCCAATTTTCAATGACTCATTCGTGCATTTCGACTAGTAATTGGCGCATGACACGTGTGATGTTTTCTTCCAAGGCCTGAATCGAAGCGAGATTGTCCGCATAGACTTTAGAGTTTACATTTCGCTGCAGGAAAAAGGCTAACGGTGTGATATCTTGGTAGCCAATCGACCGGCCCAAAACGTAAAATTATTTGCTCGTCGAAGTGATCCCTTAATAAATTCATTGATTAAGGCAATGTGTGGTCTTGCTGAAACCAAATGCCGCCGAGATCACGAGTTTCAATTTCAGGCATCAAAAAGTCGGTTGTCATGATGGGATAACGGTCGCCATTGACTGTTACGTTCTCACCGGCATAATTTTTGAAGAAATGTTTACCAATGAATTCACCGGCGCACAAGCCACACCAAACCGTGCTTTTTTCTGGATAAAATATCAGCTTCTGAATCTCTTCAGGTTGCTCCTCATCCCAAATGTGTACATTTTACTTGTTTACACTCCCTGATTTTGAATTTGGCTCCGAAACAGTCTCTCCAAACAGTCCGAGTTGCTGCGAACAGCGCCGAATCGCTTCTACATGGTCTTCGTGTACACTCTCAGCCGCGGCAGCTATATTTTCTTCACTCCGTGCTGAACGTGAGCTATTCGGTTGAACATTATCCAATAATGAGTGCTGGGTCTCAATATAGGTGGATAGGATCAGTAGACCGCCAATGCTGACAGTGAATAAAGCGAAGTGCACGAAACTAACTCCTTACATAACGTGAATTTTCGTAATACCTCTACTTGGATAACCCGTTTTTAACAAAATACGATAGCGATGCTTCGAAACATCTTAGTGGACTGTATGGGTGCTTAACATGAGCCGAATCCAACAAAAGTTGTTCGCATACGAAGCACTTTGAAGTAAATGGTTGCCTCTTTTTGTTTTTTTTCTTTCTTTTTTTGAAAAAACTGGACATGTCGCGACCATACTTCTACAACACCAGAAAACATTAATTTCTGATTAATACAGAACCATCTGTTTGCAAAAAATCTTTTTCAAAAAATCGGAAAAACCAACCGCCAAAGTCATATAAGTTTCCCCCACGACAATTCGAGCTCTCAGATATTGACTGAAATAATTGCATTTCTGAGGACTCAAAGCATCGATTTGATAAGTCATCCATAGTTTAGTCCTGACTTGGCACCAAATGGCTTTTTTTTCGTAAAAAAATAAATAGAGAGGCCAACGTTTTTCAACACCTAAAGAGACGGTTTAAACTTTAAGAACGCATGTTTTGGAGACACATCCATCAAAGTGGCAAAAGCGATTCGACAATTGGTTCAAAAGCATGTAAAAGTGTATAAGTAGATCGTAATGGATATCCACTAGTCATACAAACCTACCGATCAAAATCAAGCTATTGTAAGGAAAGCTTGAAACTGTGAAGGGTATTATAGCTTCAGTGCAGCCGAAGTTAACGTTTTTTTCCTGTTCTTTCTTCAAACGCTTGGTAACCACAAAAGACTCGAAGCTAAAATGTAAAAAAAAACGAAGAGGACGTCCCAAAACTGGTCAAAATTAATTCGCATAATAAAGGTAACGGTGCCTGTCAGAAATGAACCGTTACATATTACAAACTTACTGTTATAAAGTGGAACGTTAAACAGGCGTATCGATAAATGAATCACCGCCTCAGGCACAGCGAAGACACAAAGCCGTTGCAGGCTTCCAAAAAAACAAAAACAAACACAAAAGCAATGCCAAAGGCTGGCCCACTGATGCGTCGCACGATTCTTATTATATACCAGGGGTATATACATATACACATACGTACATATGTAAATGCAGCGAAGCACATAAGCAAGGTACCGTAAGGAGCCTCAATGAAGACGATCGTCAGTTAGCAAAACAAGAAATGAAAACAAAATGAAAGCACATAAAACAGCAACAACAATCAAAACAAGTCCAAGGCAGCCAAGTTGCACTCATTTAAAGCCATTGGGCAGCCTGTAAACTGCGTACGACAAGCTACGTAGCCCACAAGATGGACCTCCGAAGCAACAAAAGAAAGCAGAAAACTAACTAAAGACAATGAACGAAAAGAAAGAAATAAAGAAAGGCTCAAAAGCCGTTTACTAAAGATAACAATGCAAGTCATCGCATGGACTCAAGAGCGGACAAGTGAAGGGAAATGCGAGGCGCGCAGAACAACGGTAGTTTCAAGTGAGCCACCTTGTGGGGCATGCACGGGAACGACCAAGAACAACCACAACAACAACAACGTGCGCGGTGACAGTGAATAGTGGTCAACGGGTAACGGTAAATTATGCAATCACAACATGAACGAGGCACTCTTGACCGAGTTTTCAAAAGCCAGATTAACGGTGCATGCGCAAGAACGATTGCTGCTTGCACTCGCTAGCACCGTTGTTGTACATTAACGCAGCCAGAATTGCGGCAGCGAGAAATCAAGGAATTGTTGCGAAGTTAAATACAAACTGCTTACGAAATCTTGCGGTATTTTTTATTGAATTTTCAATTGTTCATAAATTTTTTTTTTTTTTGTTTGATGACTCATGCGCAGCTCTTGACCGATGCTACGGCTGCTACTATGCCGATCTCTTTCGACCAATTTTATCGCAATTTTCGACGACAGGCCTTCCGGAGCGTGGCACATCTTCGACCACCTCTACACCAGAACGAAAACGTTGAAACGATCGTTGTGCGGTGGCAATGGAAACTGTATCGGGTCCATAAACTGCACAAATTTTATTGGCGGCGCGTGATGAATTTTTGCCTTTATCGTAGTGGTACTGCTCCACGTTTGCGACGCTATAACTCACGAACGACTTAAAAGAAACGACAATCAATCCAACACGTGTTGGCGCGTGAAATAAGCTTTCCAAAACGGTATAGCATGACCCGATGCGACGAATAAAACTAGAAAAACTGGCGCTCTCAGCGCCAACTAGCGAATATGCCGCAAGACTTTTTTGACAACCTAATATTTAAAAATATTATCCAATTAATATATCCAATTAATTTCAAAAATTCAAAAATTTTAATAAATAAATGGTAAACATAGCAATCAAGGAAAAGTTCCAAGAAGATCTGACGTTTTCGAGACAAATTTTGTTCAGCGATGAGGCCCATTTCGGGCTCAGTGAGTATGTAAGCAAGCTAAATTGCCGCATTTGGAACGAAGAGCAACCTGAAGTGATTCAAGAGCTGCAATTTCATCCAAAAAACTAACGGTTTAGTCTGATTTGTGGGCGGTGGAATTATCGGTCCATATTTCTTCAAAAATGATGCCGGTAAGAACGTAACCGTTAATGGTGACCTTTATCGCGCCATGATAACCGACTATTTGATGCCTGAAATTGAAACTCATGATCTCTGGGATATTTTATTTCAACAAGACGGCGCCACTTCCCACTCATCGCATCAATCAATGGATTTATTGAGAGAACACTTCGGTGAGCAAATAATTTCACAATTTGGGTCGGTCGATTGGCCACACCATTTACACTTTTTCCTGTGGAGTTATATAAAGTCGAAAGTCTGTGGACTATTCCGCTTCGGTGCAATCCTTGGAGCAGAACATCACGCGTGTCATTCACCAGTTGCCAGTCGAAGTGCTCGAATGAGTCGTTGAAAATTGGATTCAATGGATCTGCGACATAGCCGCGGTCAACATTTGAAAAAGATAATCTTCAAGAAATAAATGCCAAAGAATGTTCTTTCGAATGATGAAAAGCATTCCGCATTAAATTTGAAGTTGCTGTGTTTTTTCTTAAAAGAAAAGTAGGGAACCTCGAAATTGATCATCTTTTATATCTCTGCGTAGTTACCGAAGTTCTGCTCATCGATGACAACAAATTGTAATCGGTAGGAGCCAAGTCTGGTGTATGCTGCGGATGGAGTAGCAGCTCCCAGCCAAGTACTTTTATTGCATACTGAACCGATTTTGCTTTGTGTACAGGCGCATTGTCGTGTCACAAAACTATTTTGCCATGTCTTCTGGCTCATTCTGCTCGTTTTTCGCTCAATGATCAGTGAGTTTCTTTCGTGTCTTTGAAACAAAATTTCTCAAGTGTTTTTCGGTTTTCTCTTTGCCTTTCATTCAATTCACGTGGCACCCATTTTCCACACTTTTGGATCTTAATTTTTTTTTGCATCGCTTTCAAGCGGTCTGAAATTGTTTGTTGTGCAACAATTAACATGGCTTTCATTTGGTTTTGATTCAAAATATCATCTCCATTTAATATTGCCTGCAGTTCGGCGTATTCAAACTTTTTTGGTGAACTTCCACGTTCTTCATTTCTCACATCAAAATCATCATCTCTGAACCGTTGAAGTTATCTTTTGCATACTATCCATATGCCTCGACAAGCGCTCGGTGCGACTCTGCAATACTTTTCTTCAAATGGAAACAAGATATTAATGCTTTCCTCAAATCATCACTTTTCGGTATAAAATTTGACATTTTCAACGTAATGAAAAAATATGATGTTTGCTCAATGACTGTAGGTTTATTAAATACGTTTGACAGATGTCATGCCAACCAAACAAAAAACAATTAAGGCTCATTCACAACAAATGTTCCCTACTAAAACATTTTTATGTAAACACTCACTCATACCGTTAAGTCTGGTATATAGTATATATGGTAGACATCACCGTGAGGATCGGTAGACAGTATATATAAATCATGTTTTCAAGGACCTGCCTCATATTTGCAACCCAATCAGTAGCTGACATTTAGCACTGGCTTTCATTGTATATGTGATTATATTTCGTAGTGTTTAGCGTAACAAATTACATACATATTTGCGGCAATAAGTACAATATAATTGATATCTTATGGAAATGCTTGCAAAGTTTCCAACTTAAATGCAGAGCGAATAAAAAATTCTATAAATGTGTCTTTGCTAAGGCAACAATGGGAGCAGCTGTTGGTATCTCTGGGAATACGCAAGCGCTGGCAGCAATATCAATGTGCGTGTATTTCAATGGCGAGCTGGACTCTAGGCCATGCTTGTCCAAGCCAGTGGCTTGGATAAGAAAAGCGGCTGGAATCTAAAATTATAGAAATTAGCATAATTAGAAAATTATAATGTATACTAAAAAAACTAATTTCAAAATGATTTACCTGGTGTCCACGGGGCGTGCGTGTCGATGGTGCATTGTTGGCTTGCACAAGATCTTCACCAAGCACTTTACCCTTATTAAAATCGAAATCATCTGGACGCAAAACGGACACCTCGAAAGGTTCGCCAAACGACTGGCCAGTCTCTTGCAACAGACGTGCATGCCCAGCTTTTTGCGCCACACTATTGTCAATGGCAATCGAGTAGCCATCACCAGCTGAAATGCAAGCATGACCTGTCAATGTAGCAATGGTGAAGAGATGTGGATCGGGCAATTTGCGCTCGATGGCCATCTCTTTCATGCGACACAAAGCATCCGCCATGCACATGCGTCCCTCGGCATCGGTGTTGCCAATGCGTATGCGTACACCGGCGCGTGAGGTGTACAACTCATCGGAAACATAGGATTCTTCGCCCACCGAATTACGGACCATGCAAAGTGCAGCGATAACATGCACATCGGCAGGCTTTTGCTCGTTGACAATCTGTGTGTGTGCAACAATTTAGTTAAAATTTGTCGTAAATCTGTGTTAAACAAAACCTCTTACCTGCATGAAGCCAGCAACGGCAGCGGCGCCACACTTATCACGTGACATGCCGGCCATCACACCGCCAGCCTTAATGTCAGCGCCACCAGTATCGTAGGTGACACCCTTACCCACCAACATCAGAGTTTTCCGTGCCGGTTGCGGTGGCACATACTCCAGGAAGATGATGCGTCCGCGATGACGACTCACTTGATTGGCAGCACGATTAACGGCGGCAAAAAGTGGATAATCCTCTTGTAAAACATTCAAATCGCTAATGACTTCCTTCTTCAGTGAGGACAATACGCTGTTAACGTAGTCTTCAACGCGAGGTGGCGCCATGCGTTCTGGATCGCCAACACCTGCAAAGGCAAATAACAACAAGCTGTTAAGAGTATTGTTGCATACTTTAAGGCACGCGTGTAAACAAATAGAAAGCCTAGTTGTAGCATTGCCAGTTGCAAAGTACTGATATTGAACAAATATTAAAATAGAGGCAAATTTATTTTGCAAATAACAGTTTTTGTACTTTTACAATATTTTGGTAAAAAAGCTTTTTATTTAAATGTTACTTACCAATATCGCGTGCCACCATCCGACCTGATTCCAAAACCAAAGCATCTTTTATAATTTCCTCAGCCCTCGGCGTGGAAATCAAAAGTGACAGCTCCTTAATACGCTTCGCCTGCTCGGGCACATCCTCGCGCAGTTGAATAGGCTAGAGACAATAATTTTATTATTATTTTTTTTTTATAAACTTTCTATCTAAAATATTATCGGTACTTACAACATATAACTGATCCAAGGCACCCAGCACGGTGCAAAGTTCGGCATTGCAGAAACGGTTGCTCGCTGGCACCAACAGCAGTGGCGATTTGAAGCCAGCCTAAGGAAATACACGAAAGTGATAAGCGTTGCGATAAATGCATTATTGCAAATATCTTGAGCATATTGTAAACATATTTGTCTTGTTACGTTATATTTGTTTTACAACTTCATCTCACCTTAATGGCGCGCTCCAATGACTTGGCTGCCGCTTTCTGATATGTGCGCACATCATGATAATCAGTCAGTTCCTGTACGGGTGAATAAACTATGGGCAAGTCCAGCTTGGGCGACTTAAAGCATGACACCACACTATCGAAAGCCTTATCAAATGAGCGGAATTCACCGAACTGCTCCAGCAATTCTGGCGGCACTTGACGATCGATAATACAGAGTACATCACAACTGGACTTCTGTATGAGTTTAGCGATTTTCACGCTGCACGGCAAGAGTCTAAAAGCAGGAAAAGAAAAACAACAATAGAAAATATTAAATTAATGTGTATGTCATGCACTTTTAAAGTTCAAGGCAAATACAATTCAGGAGCAACAACAACTACAATTGCACGCTATAAACTGCATGTACATGCATTACACATACATATACGTAGTATGTGTGTCAGTGTGTTATATGGAACCAATCAGCACATCATTGTGTACGATGTACCATTTGCGTTTTATAGCAATTGACATTAAATGCTTTGTTGCATTTGTTCATTTCCTCATCTGCTTTGCTGTATGTTTGTTATAAACAATTATGTATTTTTTTTTGGTCACGGAGCACTTTTTAAGTGCCGCTATAAATAGTTGACTGCCAACTAACGTTCATAATTTACAACAATTAATATGCAGCCGGTTTCTCTTATCGGCAGGGAAATGGGCGTAAAATTAAACGTTTACAGGAATGCCTTAAAATATGTTTTGTTGCTTTATGAAGCCAAATCTTTTTTTAAGCTCAGCTTCGAGTCCGAAACAAATTGCATTATGCAAATTATCATTGATTTTTAGCTAAATGGATTTATAAATAATCATTTTTATTGATATAATTTACGCTCATTGAAAGCAATTAAAAGAAGGTGCCAAAAGTATAACATCGTACGTTTTAGCTTGCTCAAAATAATTAAATTTAAATCGGTTTATACGCAACTTTTGTTCCGTATATAAAAAAAAACTTTAAATTCAACACATTTAAAAATGTTTCTGTTTTCCTTCATCAACTGCCCACATGCTACAGTAAAGCTGTTAGATTTACAACTCATCGGCATTAATCTAATCGAGAATAATAAAATATAAAAAATAATACACATAGTAACGCAAACATTGCCACAATGTTCCAAGAAAGCATTAACTTCGGTTGCGCCAAAACTATAATAATACCCTTCTCAAATAAAGATGTTTCCATCCAAGAATATGTATTGGTGGTACGACATAAACACATTTTTCGGAGATATTACCATTGCCTTAAATAATAATCCATATTTCTTGATCATATAAAAATGTCTTCCACAAGGGAACTTGAATTTGATCGTTCTTATGACAGCTATGTATATTCTATAGCGGGCCGATTCCGCCAAATGAGCAGCTTCTGAGGGACTAGTATGCGGATATACAGACTGACGGGAACGTTACGCGTGTGACTTATTTATGTACATATATATTTCATATGGTCTCTGACGTTTTCTTTTGGGTATCACAAACTTAGTGGCAAACCCTGTTCAGGTCATTAAAATAAAACAAATAATCACACTGGATTTTTGAAGACCATTTCATAATCTTCTATAAATGAAATTACAGTCTGATATACACATGTATAATCAGTGATTTATGATTTTCACATTATCGAAAACATCGAAAGCCATAAAGGTTTAAACTCAACATAACTATTTTATGAGAAAAGCTTACAAACTATTATATCAACTACTGTTTTTTAATTAAATTCTTAGCCGCTTTTTATAATTCACTTTTTTAAACTAATTAATATGCTATAAAACCTCTCATGTTCGTACTATACCATCCTTCACATCACTATTTGACACTTACGAAGTGTTGGATATGCAAACTCCAACCAGCTCGAGGTGATCTTTCTTCTTTAACGGCGAATTGCTCCGTCTACGATAAGCTGATCGTTTATGTGCCATTCGAATCAAATTTTTTTTCATTTGTTATTTTTTTTTTTAAGTGCGTCAAGCATTGTTTTCATACATTTTTGGGGTTACTTTGAATTACATTGCTTTGAATTGTTGGGTAGATGTACATACGTAAGTATAGCCCATTGGGATAAGAACTTAGTATTCATAGAATCAAACTTTCCTTTAGCGTCTGCTTCTGTTTACTTACACAGCTTTGAATTAAATTTGTTTTTGTTTTTATAGTGTGCTAACACTTGCAGCTGATAATTTCTATACAAAATGCAATAAATATTTAGTACACGTATGTAGATAGCTGGAATCTCTCGCATATTAATAGCAAAATTTGTGAACAAACATACGCAAGTACATTGTATAGACATACATATGTATGTATATCTCAGAAACTTGTACAGCATACACTCATATGCTTAAGCATATAAAAATTCACACAAAAATCTTGCACTCTGAAAGCAGGGATACGAAAAGTCTGTGTTTTGTTATCTATAAATTTTAATTCTACATTTATAATGTCTTTTGAAACAAAATAAAAGTATAAATGGGTACGCCGTCGCAAATTAGTTTCCTTTTGTGAGATAAGGAAATATTAATTTTAACACTTTTGCACTTTCTGCAATACACATTTGCAAGTTATTGCTTAATTATTTTTTTGCTTTAGTATATCTATTATTATTACAATAAAACAAAGAGCTCACTTACGTATCGGCTACCATGTTAAACAGTATATTTCAAAGACACAGATATTATTAAACAATTTAAACGTCCGACAACGACGACGACCGCTACCTAACTGACTATTGCAATACAACTTTCTAATCTTCCAATACAAATTCTATACCAACATTCGTGTACTTTACTATTGTTGTTTTATGATGCCGATTTATCTACTGTATATATACAGTCAAGTTCGCTATTGATAAGGTAACAACTTTTTCTTATAGGAAAATTGTTAACGTCTACTTCTAAATTCAAGATCTATAAAATTTCGTATCTCTAACAACTGTATTAACATAGTAAACCGTGTTGTTGACACATTTTTGGTTTTTGTACTTACCTCTCGATTCCCATGATGGAAGCTGGACACACTATCACAACTAGCCTTCTTGTTCTGGGTTTCTGCCGATTATATATGATTTAGTAGACGGCAGTATGCTTCTTATTAACTAGAAATCAAGGTAGAAGATAACCGTATTAGACACAATTGGCGAAACCAATAAGTTATTCAATGAAAAGTGTACTGTTTGTTCCTCTTATTGGGTAGATAAAACACGTTTTTGGCACACTTTGTGTAACCGATGACTGGGTTCCATGAAGGAAAATGTTTACAATGAAAATCAGCTCTAAAGAGCTTCACTTTATAGAAATCGGTTGCAATGTAATTACAAGTAAACAGAGAGGAACGTGTTAATATTGCACTTATATCTTAAGCTTACTAAGTCCAAATTGTGGCAATACACATGACAAATGCATGATTCTCCGGCTAACAATTCCCTACGAACTATATACTTTCTGTTAACCACCACTCACTGTAAAGCTTGTCGCCGATGAGTAAGCTGCGTTTCTCAGAAAACTTTAAGCTAAACAAAAATTTATTTAAATTGTGTAAGTCTCTTTTGCATAAAAATTTGCCGGTGCAGTAGCTCAATACACTCTTCACATGTTTTAAATGCGCCAATCAGCTGTTATAGGCAGTGCTGTAAACAGTGTGCTACTACTACAATAATTTACCCCGTCTGATAAGAAGTAGCGAATTTTATTTCTTGATTGAATTAAGGCAAGCAAAGTTTCAACTGCTGTTGCACTGAAGCTGAGAATACTCTACACAAATAAAAATATTTCCATACTATAATTTGATTTTAATCATTCAGTTTGTATATAAATATATATGAAGATAACAAAGTTTTCTATACAAGAATTTGTTCTCGATCGTTCGGTTGAATATATTCAATAACTAAGAAACTAGACTAATCAACTTATATATACATATTATCTGACATTTCCTTCTAGGAAGAGGAGGACAAATAGCTTGGAGACAAATTTAATTAACCCTCTTTAGAATAAAAGAAACAACCTGTAATGTAAATTATTTACAATACTTTTTTATATAATTTTTACACTCCACTGATGTAATTTCTAATATCGTCAATTAAATGTGGTAGCTCCTTTGCGTCAAGTAAGATAATTTTGCGATAAGGTGTTAATGTCGCGTCGCCTTCTAGCCAATCTCCACTCATACCAACATCGCATTCGTCTGCAACCGAATATTCGAAGGAATTTACTGCTTTGGAACTAATTACTTCCTCTTCGGCATTCGTATATGTATCTTCAACAGGTTTTCCCTTGCGTGCCTCTTTGCGATAGAATTTAATTATCATTATAAAATAACTGAAGTTAAATTGCATGCCCTTTTGTTTAGCTGTTAGCACTTCTTTATGTAAATTCTCCAGTAACGGCACTGAGATTTGTGCTGGAATATTTATGAAACGTTCATTGATAAGAAATCCCACTGGTCGCCCCTCATTTCCAAGCACATCTCGTAGGTGTGTCAATACTGAATCTGGCGCATTTTTTTCAGCTCGCTGTATTATATATCCACGCAATTGCTCAATGCAAGCAATGTCCTTTTTTGCCGTCATATTGATGACTGTTGTAATACCAAATATTGTGCCTTCTTCGACCATATCATCGTCCATGTCACTCTCAGCACCATCTGGTTCACATTGGCAAATAACACTGCCCACATAATTCTGAGCTAAATAAGTAAACATTAATTATAACAAACTATGTCCTAGTAAGTTAATAAAAAATTTACCAATTATCATATCAGCCATTTGCATGGTGTTTACTGGCGCTCGCAAGAACACGCGCTGTAACAGTTGTGAAATTCCATGACAATCTGGATCAGTGGGGGCACGACCTTCGAAATCAATTTCCACTTCCTGCAACGTAATTATGCGTTTTTTGTTGTTTGTTAGTAATACTTTTACAAACCTCATTGCCGGTATAGGCATCAGGATGAGGCTCATCATCATCATTATCCTCACTTGAGCTATCCGAGTCGTCGGCCGTTGGATCTTCCTCCATGGAATTCAAGTTCTTCTTTTTATTTGCCGACATTATGAAATGAATTCAAGTAATACAACTAATAATTTTTGAACAACACTAATATTATTAAAAAAAAACTTGTTATGTTTCTTTTCTGCCTCTTTAACATAACAGCTGATTGGCCTCCACGTGTTTGTTTTGTGCTGTGCAATGAACATAGCATCAAATACAGAGTTGCACAAACTAGTTTTGTGTAATTTTAAAAACAAAATTTTTATTATTTTTCAAAAATAATATGATTTACGAATGGAAAAATATATATGAACCTCTGTAGAATACAAACTATCTGTGTCGCAACATTCATTTCAATTAGGTTTTTAAATACTTAAGTTTTTCTTTCGAACATTTAAAAAACTGATATCCTTGACTTTTCTGTTAATAGCTATTGGCAGCTCTAATAGAAAAAATAGTTGACATTTCATTTCTTCGCCTAGCAAAGAAAAAGTGTAATTTGTGTTGTTTTTGAAACCAAGAAAAAAGTATGCATACTGATCTATCACCACATCTGCATACATCGGAGTGCAATAATTTGATTGAGCAACTAAATAATTGTCACATTGAGGTAAACAAATATTTCCAAACGTGATACCCACAAGTTGTTACAGCTTACATAATGTGTAATTCATTTTCAGAATAAATTTGCAAAATTTCTGGGCGTTTGCAACGATATTGATAACCAGTTGGTGAGTTGTTTAAAACGTGAACGTCAAGCACGTGCTGCAGCCAACCGTGTAAAAGCGGCCGAACGACAAGCGCGCTTAAAGGAGCGTCTGGTGTCTTCATAAACATTATCCTCTTTTAATACATCTATTTACTATAACCAACAATGCCTACCGAACCAGAAGATCCACTTGAACCCTACTACTATAACCATGTGCCAGAAGTCATTGGTGGCATTACCGTACCGTCCATTACAGAGGAATGGGTTGAAAATTATCCCAGTGTCGTAGACCGATTTTTCACGCGGTACTATTACATTAAGGAAAGTCCGGAACCGGCACCCTATCAAGTTCTTTTTCACTCCAATCGTGTTTGTTTAATTTGTTTGGCACCCGAGCATCCCGCAATAAAAGACGGTATAAAGTCATTCACGTTTGATATCGGCAATACAGATCGCAGTAAAAATACGGTAAAAGGAAAGGGCAAGAAAGGCGGTATGGTTCTACAACATGACTCCACGCTAGCCATATTGACCAGCGAGCAAAATAAAACGTACAAAATACCTAGTTGTGTACAAAGTAAATTGGTGGAAGTAAATACAGCTTGGGTTGAAGCACCAAAGCGATTAGAAACTGCCGCCGAAGGTGAAGGCTATGTCGCTATTGTATTACCAAAACCTGAAGATTGTGAAAATATTAAACGTAGTCTATTAACACAAGCACAATATAACGAAAAGTGGAGTGTGATAAAAATGAAGGCTGCGCAGAAATTAGCAGATGAGAGCAACGTTGCCAAAAGTGACCATAAATCTGCGCAAGCTGAGCAAGAATCTGCACTGGTGGAAAAACAAAATGCAAATGGATCATAAGTGCGGTTTCAATAAGTGTTTTGTTGATATTTGTGAATTTCTAAATAAATATGTTGGTTTTTTTTTTTTATCAAAACAACTTTTTATGTTTGAGATAATATTAATTTTAACAACGGTGTGTTATTACATAGAAACGTAATAAATTCATATTTACTGTCGCATTTTTAAATAAAAAAAAACAAAACAAAACTGTGACTGTGTTGTGGCTTGAAAGTTATAATTTATGCTGGTACATAAAATTATACAGTTTCAAAACCATTTGCGAGATTCAGATATCGAAAATGAAAGTCTATTTTAGGCTTGCCACTCCATTAATTGATTAAAACACGCAATTTGGTTTTTTCTAAGTTGTTTTTTTATTTGTTGTTACAATTCAGAGTCTATCATTATGTCCAACATTACATTTAAATGTAAGCTCGCTGATATTTCAGCTGTCACAAATTGGCTAAATCATTTTTACATTAATTTGTCGATGTAATGCTTACAAGTTGATTTAAGTTTTAATTATTCTGTTTCTTATAAAAAATCATGCAACGTCTTCACTGTTTGTTTTGCTCTTTTTATTGCATTTTTCATAAATTTTTTTTTTTACATTTTACTCACTCAAATAAAAAAGAAAACTTATTAACTATGACAGGGTCTAAATTCACAATGCCTTTGGTGCAGTGCAGTGATAGTAGTTAAAATTATATGTACGATTTTTTTATTACATTTATTACTTTTTATTTATAATTTTTGTTTAACACGCAAACTTATATATTAAAGCTCTCTCAATGGAAGCAAAAAGAAAACGGAAAACATATTTCTGCAGTACATGGTTACAGGACACACAGTGCGGGGATATACGAAATTATGTTTGTGCACAATTATTACAGAACAATTAAACAATTAATTTCAAAAAATAAATGCCTTCAATGGTTGTGCAAAGGTTTTAGTTGTTTTTGTAAGTGAAAAGTTAAAGCTTCGTCGTTAAGGCGAAATTAAAAATTTTGACGGGTTCGAATTCGGGCAACGTTTGCTGTTTAGAAATTTGAAATGTAGTGTTAACGGTTAATTGTTTGTTACTGTTAGTTTAGTCATCTCTCCCTTTATAATGCTTATTTATGGCCAATGCTCGAGCGCATATGGATTTTTTGTTTAATTTTGCTATTATGCCTTTTGTCTCAGTCCCTCCCACTCGTTAAATTAGTTAGTAAGTAAATGTGTTTGTGTGTGTGTGTCTCTCTCTCTCTCTCTCTCTCTCTCTCTTCCTTAAGTATGTTTTAAGCTGTTGTATTTAAGGAATTTCGATTGACAGTTTGTTTCACTTTTTTACTTTTTTTTGTCTCATTAAGTTGTAAAGTTTCAGCAAATTTGATCGTTTCGCTGTTAGATCGCTCACTCTCTCTCACTTTTTTTTTCTTTATAAATTATAACTAATGTCTCTCTCTCTTAGTCGGCAATTTGGTACAATTTCGGTTTTTATTTTAATATTTTTTCTTTAATATCTCAATTAAAATTGATCTCTTTTATTTGGTTTGAACGTGGTTTCCTTTCGCTCAAAACTTTCTTTACTCGTTTACATAAGCACATATGTCTGTGTGTAGCTGTCTTATTCTGCATTTGTCCAGTGCTTGTAGATCTTTCTTGATTTAGTTGATGTGCATTACTTTTTGGACAATTTTCAGTGCAGTTTTTGGTTTGAGTAGTTCAACTTTTCGTGCTCTTGCCGGAGCCTTTTGTTTCCGGTTCGTCATCTGCAGCTCCTTTAGCCTCAATGTTGGCCAGCGCCGATTCCGTCATCTTTTTATATTTACCAGCCAACTCAGGCAGATCGTAGGCGATTGCTACATCCAGCTTGGTAATGGGGCAACCACGGAAGTACGTGCAGGTCTCAGAAAGTTTCTTGAACTCGTAAAGTGGATTGAGCCGGAAGAAGTCGCGATAGACTTCAGGGTCTGGCAAATCGTAACGTGAAATATTCGTCAGTGTTGAGAGGCCCTCATAGATGTGGTAGTTTTGTGGATGATTGATAATTTCATCGGCGATGCGTTTCTTATTGCCGAAGAGGGTCTTGTGGTTGTAGTAGGTATTGAGGTAGCAATCCACCATTTTGGCATGATTGCGGACGCGCACCTACCAAGCAAGTATAAAGTAGTGTTTTCAGTAATAATGTTAAAGATACGGTTCTGCTTGAAATACTTACAGCGAAACGACGCGCACTGGCGATTTTATGTTCGATCCTCTTGTCGACAGCGGTGCGCAAATCGCGCAGGAAGGCGCGCTCTTGCGCCAACAGTAAACGTGCCGGTGCGCCCTCCTGATAGGGATGCGACCACAGCGATGTTGTATACACCAAAGGTGGCTGTGCGGAGGACATCAGCGGCGAGATATTCCAAATGAGTGCGCTCTGTACGCGCAAAAGCTCCTCCGGTTTGACGGTATCAGCTTTGTTCAATATAATACGCGTTTGATATTCACGTCCCTTAAGTTGATCCAATATAGCCTCGGTCTCGGGGCCAACATCAAGTTTGGCCGGATCGTAGACGAGGAATATGATATCAGCACGATCGATAAACCACTGACAAGCATCGTTAAAGGGGAAAAGACGGGAGACCTGTTTGCGTACTTCCAAAATGCCGGGAATTTCAACGATGTTCACCTGAAAAAAAGGTTTTTTTTTAGGTTAAACTCAATATACATATTATAGATTTCTATTTTTGAAGGTCTTTATCAAGGCAAAACATGAAGGAATATTATTCTCATGTCAGAAAGTTACTTAACTGTGAATGGCTATCGCTATCGCTCAATGATAACCGAATATTTTTAGTCCGAATTGGATGATATGAACTTAGACAATATGGACGGCCCAACAAGCCGCACAGAGAATGTCACATTGGATTTATTAAAAACCAAGTTTGACCCAGTCAATTGGCCACCTCGGCCACCTCCCGTTTTCATGGATCTAAATTCCGAAGCATTGAATTAAATTTTGATAATGGAAATCGAAAAATCCGAGCTGTTGGTCTTCTTTCCGCTGTTTTTCGATTGCTTGCCTGGCTTCGCCTTTTACCCGATGAATCTCATAAGAAACATGTTGTGGCTCATCAACTTATTTCTTCTTAAAACCCATTTATTTCCACAATTTATTTCGAAATAATAATTCTCCCAAAGCTACGTTAGTTTCAAATATTGGAATCCGAGCTTTTCGTCACTGTTGGTCGATCAATGAACTTTTCTTCTCACAAGAATCCTTTTTGATTTTTTTCGATTGCTGGGTTGGTCCTAGCTTGACTTTTCTTCGCTCCCGATAGATCTCACATAAAACATCTAGGGTTCTTTTGGGAGTTTTACGAATCGTAGTTCGGTCCTAACTCTTCAACTTAATGCTTCTTAAAAACCCTGTCTTTTTTTTAGAATTTATTTCGAATGGGTGAATTTGTTGACCCAAAGCTAAGGGAGTTCAAAAATATCGAGGCATTTCAATGCTTAAATCAATACAGAT